AATGGCCATCCTTCAATTTTGAAGATTCACAGATAAGCCCGAGGGGGTCCCCCCCCCCCGCTGTGAGCCTGGTAAGTTAAAAAGCCAGCTTATGCTATTTTGAACACATAGTTAATATGTTTGGGTTTTTCCTTCCAGCAATCCTCTTTTAAAATCCCGTGTGCTTTTAATCCCTTTCCGAAAGCAATAGGAGAAATTCCCTCGACGCACCCTGGGCATGCTACCGTGTCACGCCAACTCAATTAGTAATTTAAAGACTGCATAATGCAAAATAGGGGAGTGTTGGTTTTAAGGTTGCTAACCTCCAGGCGGGGCCTGGAGATCTCCCAGAATTACAATTTACAACTGATCTCCAGACTGCAGAAGTCAGTTCCCCTAGAGGAAATGGCTGCTTTGGTGGACTCTATGGCATAATACCCTGCTAAGGTCCCTCCCTAGGTTCTACCCTTAAAATCTCCAGGAATTTCCCAACCCAAAGTTGGCAACCCTAGTCTGTTTTGTCCCCCCCCCATTAGCAAATCATCGAGTTCACTGTGGTCTAACATCCTTCCTCATCAGTTCCTGGCTGTTTTCTCTCTCTCTATCAGATGGTCAAGAGAACAATTACATAAAACGCCAGGAAAAATCACAAGTAAATAATTTGCAGGGAGATAAAAATTCACTGTATGCCAACCATTCATGCCTCAGGGCAGTACCTCCACAAACATTGCAGGGCTCTTTTTGTAGAAAAAGCCCAGCAGGAACTCATTAGCATAATAGGCCACACCCAACAGCAGAAACTCATTAGCATATTAGGCCACACCCCTGCCACCACAGCTCATTAGCACATTAGGCCACACACCCGTGTTACCAGAAGTGTGGTCATCCAGCCACACCCACCTTTTGTTTCTTATTCTGTTTACCTTGTTTGTTGTCAAAACCCAGGGCTTTTTTTGTAGCAGGAACTCCTTTGCATGTTAGGCCACACACCCCTAATGTAGCCAATCCTAATGAGTTTCTGATGTTGGGTGGGGCCTATTATGCTAATGAGTTCCTGCTGGGCGTGGCCAACTTGGGAGCTAGCCGGAACTCCGTTCCTGTGCGTTCCTACCCAAAAATAGCCCTGTATTTGTGCCTTGGTTATGCTGTAAGCACGAAGTCCCTTGGGTATGGAGGATGACATTCTTCGCGGCTAACGATGTTGGACGGGAAGGACTCGGTGCTGTCTCTTAGCCTCAGGCTTCAGAGGGGGACTATAAAGAGTCAGACTGCTCTCAGAGCAGACTGCTGCTCTCAGAGAATCTTTCTTCCTCCGGCCGACACTTTCTCCCCTCCCACTCTTCTCCATCTTGGCGCCGTCAGGACAGGACATGCTAGGATGGTGAAATAGAGCTTGATGTAATGTAATCTTGTAATGTTTTATCACAGTAAAGGTTAAGGTAAAGGTTCCCCTTGCTCGAAAGCCAGTCGAATCCGACTCTAGGGTTGCGGTGCTCATCTCCGTTTCAAAGCTGAAGAGCCAGCGCTGTCCAAAGACGTTTCTGTGGTCATGTGGCCGGCATGACTAAACGCCGAGGCGCACGGAACGCTGTTACCTTCCCACCGAAGTGGTACCTATTTATCTACTTGCAATGTCTTGCTTTCGAACTGCTAGGTTGGCAGGAGCTGGAACGAGAGACAGGAGCTCACTCCATCATGCGGCAACTCGGGTCTCGAACTGCTGAACTACTGACCTTCCACAGCCTGCAGTTCAGCGTCTTCACCACTTGAGCCACCGCAGCTCCTTTTATCATAGTACCAAGCTATATATTTATTAGCTCGATATACAGGGGTCGTTTCGTAGAAAAAGAGCTAGGGGAACTCTTTAGCATAACTCATTAGCATATGCCACACCCCCTGACATCAGGGGCTAGGCGGTGGACCTGCAAGGCCGACGGGAGTGCGAGGAAGCCCCGCCAAGGCCCTTCCTGGCTCCAGGCAGGCAGGCAGGGGTGGGGAGAGGCGGGGAGGAAGCAACTTACCCTCCCTCTTCTCCTGCCTTCTCCTGGCTGAATGAGGGCCGGAAGCGGGGCGGCTGGAAGCAGGGGGTGGGGCTTCGTCACCCCACCCCCCCGCACCTCACCCGGGGGAACTGCGTTCCCCCACGATCCCCCCCGAAATGACCTCTGTCGATATATATAAAGTTTGGGAGGCTGGGAGGCCTGAGGAGCAGTCAGGTGTGTGCTTTCATATTGCAGGTCACGGGGTAGGGGAGGAATTCTCCCCTACCTTACACTTCAAGCTTCCATAGACCCAATGGTTTTCTGGGCTCCAGCGTAGACTTTATCAGTTGATCAACTGTATTATCAGATCAACAAGAAGACAGAAGATGCTGGAACTCAGGAAGCTAAGAACGATTATGTTTCAATGCATAATTAATGATCCTTTTGAAAGAATGAAAAAAGAAGAACACTGTTTATGTAAAGGGATACAAATATAATGTAAGGATATATAAGTTGAATTGATATCATTTAGTTTAAATGTCAGATGATGATATATACAATTGATGTACCTTTTTTGGATGTTATGCACCCTTCACAGGGCTATTTTTGTAGAAAAAGCCCAGCAGGAAATCATTAGCATAATAGACCACACCCAACAGCAGAAACTCATTAGCATATTAGGCCACACACCATGCCTTCCCTTGGCTTGCCTGGGCGCCCCGTGAATGCAGGGTGCCTGGGCAAGCCGGCCCTTAGACAGGCCAGGGAAGGCATTTAAATGCCTCCCCAATCCTTCCAGCCCCCCCGCCCCCCCGCCTCGGAGTCACCGGGTGGGGTCGCTCTCCAGGCCTTCCCTCTGTAGCTACACACGCAGAGGTTTTGGCTGTAGTGGGCGTGGCCAGCTCTGAAGCCAGCCGGAACTCCGTTCCTGTGTGTTCCTGCCCAAAAATAGCCCTGGTTCTTCAAATAAACAATAATTTAAAAGGACAGGACATGCTTCCTGCATCTCTATTCCTGCTAACTAGTTAGACTAGATTAGAATCCTGTCTCAGTTCTAGAGATGCCCGCCTCCCTTGTGGGACCTGGGGATCCCCTGGAATTGCCGCTCATCTCCAGACTACAGAGATCAGGTCCCCTGGAGAAAATGGATGCTTTGGAGGGTGGACTCTATGGCGTTGTACCCCACTGAGGTCCCTGTCCTCCCCAGGCTCCATCCCCAACCTGGATCTGGCGACCCTACCCCCCCTCCCCTACTGGCAGCCGGGGGGGGGACGGGGGGATGTGGCAACCCTACTCAACTCTATCCTTAGAATGGAGTTCTTTACAATAAAGGGCTCGTATTAGCTTTGCAAAGATAAAGAGGCTCCGTGTGTAACTTGGTTTTCTAGTAGCACATACAAACCAGATAGACTCTGCTGCGTTATGTGCCTCAAGCACTCTCGCTAACAAATATTCCTTCAAAAGAAACATCAGAAGAAGTGTGGTCATAGCATGTTCTTGCACAGAGAGCCAGTTTGGTGTAATGGTTAAGTGCACGGACTCTAATCTGGGAGAACCGGGTTTGATTCCCCCACTCCTCCACTTGCACCTGCTGGATGACCTTGGGCAAGCCATAGTTCTGTCAGAGCTGTTCTTGAAAAAGAGCAGCTTCTGTCAGAGCTCTCTCAGCCCCACCTACCTCACAGGGTGTCTGTTGTGGGGAGGGGAAGGGAAAGGAGTTTGTAAGCCGCACTGAAACTCCTTCGGGTAGTGAAGGGCGGGGTAAATCCCATCTCCTCTTCTTCTTCTTCTTCTTCTTCTTCTTCTTCTTCTTCTTCTTCTTCTTCTTCTTCTTCTTCTTCTTCTTCTTCTTCTTCTTCTTCTTCTTCTTCTTCACAGAGGCCTCCAGTTTATAGCAGCATGGCCCCGTAACTGCATCTGCCTTCTAGGTGTATTTATATAGGGTTACCAACCTCCAGGTGGAGCCTGGTGAACTCCCAAGATCACAACTCTGGACTCTATGGCATTACACCTTGCTGAAGTCCCTCCCTAGGCCCCACCTCCAAATCCCCGGGAATTCCCCTACCCAGAGTTGGCAACCTGAATTATTTAACATGGGGTCCATTCCCAGGTTACTATATGGCATTTGCAGCAGCGTCAAAAGTATATGATGTAAATTCAATATTAGTGTCTGAAATTGCACATGCAGAGTTTTAATAAAACAGACGTCGGGGTGGTGAATGTTTAAAACTAGAGGATACACAAATCAACATTCTCTTTCACTCTCTCTCTCTCTCTCTTTTTAAAAAAGTTTCCTATCGCTCATAAATACAGAGAAGTACAAGATGAGCCCCAAGCAGGTAGTCATTTAGAAACTGTCATATTTGCATGTAGATACAAGAGCAGAGGAATATATGTAAAATCTAAAAATTCCCAATCGGTGTTTCTTTTAATAGGAAAAAAGTATGTTTGCTTCCTCGGCAGTCATCGGCCTTCCCCTTCACAGTATGGAGTAAATTAGTCCTTCGGAGAAAGGTTTAGTGTCTTCAAGATCTGGGTGCGGCCAGGTGTGGCTCTTACCCAGCACGGCTTCCGATTGGTTGTTCAAGATCCAATTGGATGTGCAGATTGAAATCACGTTGCTTTGGTGGAAGCTGCCATGGCAACAGTGGTTGTATTCTGTCTCTCACTCCTCTTTCCCAGTCTATTGTCTAAATTACCCCTCTTCTTCACTGGACTTGGACTTTCTTGGGGGGTGGGGGCTGGCTCCGCCTACCATGGCAGACATCTTGTGATTGCACCCACCAACCTGTGCCCACCACCCTGTGTCCGAATTCCAAAGGTGCCCACAGGCTAAAAAAAGGGTTGCGGACCCCTGCTCTACTTTGTTGAGTTCTACTTTAGAACAGTTTGGAGTTTTCAGCTCTGTTTCACTGAGGTTACTTAATATTCTGTACCAGCATTAAAGAACAGTGTTTATTTACAACTCCACAAGAGTGTGTGTGTGTGTGTGTGTGTGTGTGTTTGTTAAAAATGGGTGCTGCGGTCTCATGGGGAAGCTTATTCCACTGCTGCGCTGGAACCGGCACAACAACTTGGATTCCTCAGGCAATACATCATTGTTCGGAAAGACATTCTCTTTTCGTCTTTATCCGGCAACACGTCATCAGTACTTTTCCTAGAGACTGTCATAGATTCCAGCTGCAACTGTTCGATCTGAAACTCCAGGTGTTTCTGAATGGCCAGCCCGAGCTCTTCCGGATCGACTTCCGCCCCGTAGACCTCCCACGTCATGCCTTCGTCATCCCATCTCACTTCCTGCACCAGAGATTTCTCCCCTTCTGCCTCAGGTTCCAAACTAACCTCCGGGTATACGTGGGGGTGGTCCTCCACTACAACTGAGGGACTTGTAGCCACAGACTTACACTCCTTGGTGGGGATGGTTTGTACTCCGGCGTCTTTGCACTGAAGAGGCTGCGAGACTTGAATCATGTCGTTCATCGAGGTCATTGTCCACATGTCTTTCGTTTTCAGGACCACCTCTGTACCGTTGTGGCGGCTGTTCAGCACCACATAGGTAGTCTTCCTTTCCTGTTGGGGCCCACCCTGTTGGACGTGAGCTTGCGACCCGTGTTCCCCATGCCCGCCGCTGCATCTCAAGATGCGCTTTGCATCCAGACCGGATTCGCTAACAGACGACACCAGCTTCGGAAGGGTCACCATTCCAGTCGCTGGCAAAGAAGGACAATATCCGGGGCTTGCTTGTTCTTTTCCTGATTCGCTGACCGAACAGACTAACCTGGGAATGAACTGAAGAGAAGGTATGGGCAACGAATGACAGTAGGCTGGACCGGTGCCGTCTACCTTCATCGCAGGCTCGTGCCTTATGTTATAGGGCAGGGCAGTGCTGTTCTGGATAGCCACCATGCCAGGCGGGTACATGCCAGCTGAAAAGTTACTGTACACGATCCCCCCTTGAGCGTACATTGCTGAGTTTGAGAGGTTATCTCTAGGTGCGTGAGGCCCGAGGACGGTGGTGCTGTACGTTCCAGGATCTGAAAAAATCTGATTATGCGATACGTCGTCAAAGAGGTGAGCAGGCACGTTTGGGTCTCTAGGCAAGCTTGGGATCTGAGTTGTGTGACTTTGATAATCAGGGGCGTTTCCATACACGTTGGAACCGTATCTTGGTCTTTGGAAAGCCAGGTTGCCTGCGGAAGCCCCAGAACCGCTGTTGGAACTCATGGCTGAGTACGTAGCGCTGGTTTCCATGTGGGGGACGGGACTCCGCTGCTTGCAGCGGCATGTCAGGTCAGAAAGACTTCTTTGGACTGCAGCTCCCAGGTCTTCTGCCGCGCTCACGTGTTGCGGGTTTCCACCATACGCGGGAGGCATGTTCTTTACAGCACTACTCTTAATGTGCATTCTAGCCTCCATTCTTTCCACGGGTTCCGACAACTTGTCAACAGGCAGGAAGTGGTTGGTGCTCTTGGGGCCGCTGTGGGTGCTGTCGCTCGGAGACAAGCTGCTCACCGTCCTGACTGTGGATGCGATTTCGGAGTGGGTCGACGACCATTCGGAACTCGGCGTGCTCCCGGTGTCGGTTTCCCTCGTCCGGGCTTGGCAGGCGGAACTGCTGAAGCTTTTCCGGAGCTCCTGCTTGCCGCTCTGCCTTTCCCCCGGGTCCGTCGGCCCGATGCCCGCCAGGTTCGAGGAGCTCTTCGAAAGGAGGTGGTAGCTGGGGCTTGGGGCGCTACGGCAGATGGAGTTTAAGGCTTCCTGATGGGAGTGGGTGTGAAGCCGGTGACTTGCCATGGCGGAAGCCAGATCTGTAGGAGACAAAGAGACAAGGTAAGCCACGGAAGCCATTTCAGTGAACGACTCGAAGCAGCTGAAATGCTAAACAGTTGGGACCCAGGTCTAAAATTAGCTCACATCCTTGCATACTGTAGCTCAGAGCGGCAGTAACCCTTAGTATTACCAGGCCATTTTAACTAGGCAGGTGTGGCGTAGCAGACAGAGTGGCTGCCTGGGACTCCCTCCTTCTATCATGGAAACTCGCTGGGTTGCCTTGGTCTATCACAAACGCTAATCCTGGCCTAACCCCACAGGGCTGTTGCTATTGTGAGAAAATGGAGGAAAGGGAGAATTATATCTTAATCCACTTTGAGTCTTGACTGAGAGGAGAAAAGAGGGATATAAATGAATAAATAAATAAATGCAAATGCAAAAACCCCCAAAACCCTGCCACTGTGTTGGATGTTGTTCTGGACACATCGATCTATCTGCCTGCCTGTCTCCTTTGTATCGTACCCTTCCCTTACAGCAGGGGTGTTAAACATGTGGCCCGGGGGCCGGATCAGGCCCCCGGAGGGCTTCTATCAGGCCCGCAGTGGAACTGGCTGTTTTCTGCTTTTTCTTCCAGTTCTGCTGCTCTGCTGCGTCATCGTGGGTTTGCAGCTTACAGATACACACCTGAACAGCATACTCAAGATTGCAACAGGACACATTTTGATAGTTATCAGACACTGTTAAATAAACAAAATATTGCAAGAGTGCTAATGTTCTAAGCATGTCTTTATTTTAAGTTAAAAAAAAAACCACCTTTGTGTTTCTGTCCTTTATAAAGTGTATATCTCTGCTACCTGGCATTACCTTTTATGATACACGTGGCCCGGCCCAACAAGCTCTCATTTGTGTCAGATCCGGCCCTCATAACAAATGAGTTTGACACCCCTGCCTTACAGTGTACACTGGGCTGTATCCTGACAACAATGCTTTGAGGTAAGTCCGGCCACAAAGCTGCTTCTTGCTCAAAGAAAGTTGCAATCAGGGAGGGGCTGTGGCTAATCCAGAGCATAGGAGTCACGTGCAGAAGGCCCCAGATTCAATCCCTGCATTCTCCATTTAAAAAGGTCTCCCTTAGTAGGGCTGGGAAGATGTCCTGTGGAAGGTCTTGAAGTCGTTGTTGGTCAAAGTGGACAGAATGGGGATGGATGGAGCAAAGGTCTGACTTGGCAACTGCATATTTCGTGCAATGAGTGTCATGGCTGAATGGTGACAATCAGGGGTCATTTTGTAGAAAAAGAGGTGCAGGAGCTCATTAGCATAACTCATTAGCATATCTTATTTGCATATGCCACACCCCCTGACATCACCAGAGGTGTGTCAGAAGGCAACACCCACCGCTCAGGCTCCACTGCACTGTTTTGGATTGCTAGCTATTGGGGGAGGGACATGCAGATCTGTCCTGGCAGAGGAGGGAGAGCTTGTACCTGAATAAAACTTGGTCTTAAAGGTGCCACTGGACTGTTTTCGACTGGGGGGCCGGGGTGGGGGCTCTGCAACTTACCTGGCTGCTTCCTGCTCTGACTGGGGACTTCTGGGAGAAGGGGGTGGGGCTTGTTGCATGTGCCCACCCCCCTGGGCTCTTTACTGCCGGAGCTCCGCTCCTGTGAGCTTCTGCAGGAAATGACCCCTGGTGACAATTATTCCTTGAGTCTGACTGTCTACAGATAGTGTTAACGCATCCCTTAACGGCTGGAAAATGCAAGGTCTATCGTGCATAGATAAAGGAGATGACAAGAACACCCTGCAGGAAGCAGCAGAGAGGAAAACTAGTTAGCATAGTGAGATTAGGGACTCCCTACTATTTTCAAATACTCTCCTTCCTGTCTTCTGATTGGCTCAACGCACCTGCTGAGCTCCTCTTTGTTGCTGACTCCCTCCTAGCCAGTTAGACCGTCAGACTTCCCTTTCTCCCTCCTCTTCCTTACAACGTTTGTTCTCTTCTTAATAAACGGACTTAATTTTTTTAAACAGCTTGTGCTTTTGCTTCACTGTGTAGCTACACTCTGCCAACATTAATAACCCTTAAGGACTGTATGCCGATTGCTCCTTGCATTCACTTTCACTCTCTAATACAGCACGCAAACCCTACAGCTGCCAGTCACGTAATTAATCCTGCTATTGGGCCTCCGAGGGTAGCTTAACATTTCCTGGCGGGAGATAAAGAGTCTCAGATAAGATGGGCTTCAGCTGCTTTGTACCAGGCTGCTGTTCTAAGCAAACGAGTACCAAGGCTGGCAGTCCTACCAAGGCCTGCGAATTAATCCTGGCAGCCCATCTGATACTTGCGACCTCCTGGCTGGATGGCTGGATAGCCTTGCCTTTACAGAGTTTGCGCCTTCCCCAGCACTGGGCCTCTAAAGCATCCCTGGGCTTTATTCTCCCCCCCCCCCACAACTCCAGGGCTTTTTTGTAGAAAAAGCCCAGGAGGAACTCATTAGCATAATAGGCCACACCCAACAGCAGAAGCAGCATATTAAGCCACACCCTGACAGCACAGCTCATTAGCATATCAGGCCACACACCCCGTGCCTTCCCTTGGCTTGCCTGGACAGGCCGGGGAAGGCACGGGGAGGCATTTAAATGCCTCCCCAATCCTTCCAGGGCCCCCTGGCCCGCCCGCCTCAGAGTCACCATGGGGGGTCGCTCTCCAGGCCTCCCCTCTGTAGCCACGCACACAGAGGTTTTGGCTGTAGTGGGCGTGGCCAACTCAGAAGCCAGCCGGAACTCCGTTCCTGTGTGTTCCTGCCCCAAAACAGCCCTGCACAACTCCTTCCCATCTGACCATCCCTTTCCTTCTCAGCTGAGAAGTGCAGGCCTCAGACAGCGCTGGTTGCTTGCAGATCTTAGGATGGAACTTACCGCCTCTAGTAGGGTTGCCAGGTCTGGGTTGGAAAATACGTGGAGACTTTGCGGGTGGAGCCAGGAGAGGTTGGGGTTTGGGGAGGGGAGGGGCCTCAGCAGGGTTCAATGCCACAGAGTCCAATGCACAGGGTTCAATGTCAGCTGGAGGTCAGTTGTAAAAGCGGCAGATCCCCAGGCCCCACCTGGAGGCTGGCCACTCTACCCTCTAGGGTTGCCAAACCCCAGGTAGGGCCTGGAGATCTGTAATGACAACTGATCTCCAGACTACAGAGATTGGTTCCAGTGGAGAAAATGGCTGCTCTGGAAGGTGAACTCTATGGCATCATAGAGCGGTGGCACAGTGGGTATGTCCCACTGTCTTAACATCCGAACTGTGTTAGTTCGAGCCCCGCGCTGGTGTGAGCAGCCAGCCTGTTCTCCCCAGCTTATCGTCCACCCAGCGATTCGAAAGCTTCGTCGAGTAGATAAAATGGGAACCACTCCTTAGAGAGGGCGGGCACACCAATCTCCCTTGTGGGAGGGTGTTAGCTGACGGTTGAGATATCCTGGTCGAGGTTCGGAAAAGGCGGAAGAACTTATTGGCTACAAAATCCCTGCAGTGGATGTTTCCGGCCAGGTGGTGGCAGTGTGGTGATTGACATACAGGTCCTAAAGCCTGGTCGACAAGCCGCCATTCGGAAAATGACTGAGCCAAGCCAGAAGACGTTTACACCATGCAGTGACGGCGTGTGCAATTAAATGAATATATATTGTCTTCCCTATCCCCTATGAACATTGTTAGACCCCTTTCTAAAATGTGTAACTGTACATTGCTTTGAGCCCACTGGGGAAAGTGATTAATAAATTGAAAAGTATTATTATTAAAGTATTATTATCATAACTCCCCGAGGCCCCTCCCCTCCCCAAACCTCCAAGAATTTCCCATCCCAACCCAGAACTAGCAACCCTATAAAACCCTTTCCCATGTTTCAGACCATACACGATTCCTTAGGAGCCACCCATCTCTCTAACCAACTCACTCGTTCTACTGACTGAGTATTGTCAGTGCTATTTTTGGGCAGGAGTTGGCCACACCCAGCAGGAGTTCATTAGCATAACAGGCCACACCCAACAGCAGAAACTCACTGGAATTGGCGACATTAGGGGTGTGTGGCATAACATGCAAAGGAGTTCCTGCTACAAAAAAACCCCTGGGTTTTGACAACAAACAAGGTAAACAGAATAAGAAGCAAAAGGTGGCTGTGGCTGGATGACCACACTTCTGGTAACATGGGGGGTATGGCCTAATATACTAATGAGCTGTACTATCAGGGTGTGGCCTAATATGTTAATGAGTATCTGCTGTTGGGTATGGCTTATTATGCTAATGAGTTCCTGCTGGGCTTTTTCTACAAAAAAAAGCCCTGAGTATTGTTATAGGCATCTAAGTAGAACAGAGGTATCAGATCAGATATACATGCCAAAGGCACAAAACCCCTTGCTTCTAAAAAAGAAATTCCTTATTTATCCCATGTTAACACTGTTACAACAGTTATTGTGACGGATGAAACAAATTTTCTTAAACTACGACTTTTTTTTAGCAATTTAATAATGAGCCTCACCAAGATTAACTCTTTGCACCTCCGTTAGTTTAGTTTCCTCGCTGAAATGTGACTCCTGTTGGCTCCGCCACTGTACCCTTTGTCCTCAGCCCTACTAGCTGTCCCAAGAGCACCCCTTATGGATGGTCCAGGCTCGTCCAATTTTGGAAGCTAAGCAGTGTCAGCTGTGGTTAGTATTTGGATGGGAGACCACCAAGGAAGTCCCGGGTTGCTACGCAGAGGCAGGCCATGGGAAACTATCTCCGAAGGTCTCTTGTCTTGGAAACCCTTTGGGGTCACTGTGAGCAGAGGTCATTTCGGGGGGGAACGCAGGGGAACGCAGTTCCCCCGGGTGAGGTGCGGGGGTGGGGCACACAATGAAGCCCCACCCCCTGCTTCTGGCCGCCCTGCTTCCAGCCCTCATTCAGCCAGGAGGAGGCAGGAGAAGAGGGAGGGTAAGTTGCTTCCTCCCCACCTCTCCCCACCCCTGCCTGTCTGGGGCCAGGGAGGGCCTTGGCGGGGCTTCCTCGCACTCCCGCCAGCCTTGCAGGTCCACTGCCGGGCCCCTGATGTCAGGGGGTGAGGCATATGCTAATGAGTTATGCTAATGAGTTCCCCTAGCTCTTTTTCTACGAAATGACCCCTGACTGTGAGTTGGCTGTGACATGCGCACATGCTACACCTCCCCCACTTTTGGTCCTTCCTCCTCCATTTCCAGCCTGCTCCCAGTCACAAGATTGGCATGGGAGAAGAGGCCACAGTAAGTTCCAGCATAGAGGGTTCAGGGGCTGCGGTCACACACACGAAATAATCCACTTTCAATGCACTTTCCAGCTGGATTTTGCCGGTTCACATAGGCCCAATCTGCATTTGGCATTTGCTCCGCTGCAGTGGCTCAGAGGTTAAGATGCTGAGCTGCAGACAGTTCGAGACCCAAGTGCCGCATGATGGAGTGAGCTCCCATCTCCGGCCCCAGCTCCTGCCAACCTAGCAGTTCAAAAGCAAGAAATTACAAGTAGATAAATAGGTACCACTTCACTGGAAAGGTAACAGCGTTCCATGTGCCTTGGTGTTTAGTCATGCTGGCCACATGACCACGGAAACGCCTTCGGACAACTCTGGCTCTTCGGCTTTGAAATGGAGATGAGCACCACAACCCTAGAGTCGGATTCGACTGGCTTTCAAGCAAGGGAAACCTTTACCTTTACCAAACCCACACTGGAACAGAAAAAGATGCGGCTCAAAACCACATTCAAATACCCCGGGCCAACGCTGTACTGACTGCAAAGTCATCCATGAATGGCAATAAAACTGCCATAAGTCTATGCCGATGGCTACCATAAAACTGAGAGATCAAACGAAGTGAAAGCAGCATGCAGTCTGGAGGCTGCCATAAAATCCGACAGTCAATCAAAGTGAAAGTGGCATACAATTTGAATCTGCATTTGCATTTTTAAATTAGTTTCATGCTTCTGTGACGCCGTCTTTCCCTGTGCTTGTTTGAATGTTGTTTGGAGAAGATTCATTTAAAGCAGTGCAGAGGAACCCTCTCATTTGATCCTGACCATTCTCAGACATTCTCTGGGCCACCTTCAAGGTACTGCGTGGCACACTCTTAAGTAGCAAAATGAAGATACGCTCGGTTAATATTAAAGGCTTGAACAACCCCATCAAACGTAAGAGATTGATTCAACACCTGAAAAGAAGGCGACCAGACTTACTATTCATCCAAGAGACTCATATGCGAACCTCGCAGGACCCTCTAATCAAAAGCCCGCTGTACCCAATACAACTTCAAGCCTACGGGTCATCCAAATCAAGGGGTGTTGCGGTATTAATTAGGAAAAATGTTAATTTCTCCGCAGAGGCCATAATTAGAGATCCTTCAGGTAGATATATTTTTGTAAGGGGTACGCTAGAAGGAACTAAAGTCACCCTGGCCTCCATATACGCCCCCAACAAGGTGCAAATCCCGTTCCTAGATGCTACCCTAGCAGAATTGGTGCAGTTTCAAGTTGGCGAACTGATAATAGGGGCGGATCTAAACCATATAGCAGACGGTAACCTCGATAGATCAGGGAGAATCTTCATAAATAAGACCACAATAAAAAGTATGAACAAGCTAACCAGGCTTATGGAAAAATTTCATTTGAGGGACACATGGAGAAGTAAACACCCACACGAGAAAGACTTCACATATTACTCGCCCCTTCATGACACTTTCACAAGAATAGACTATATTTTGACTACAGAACCATTGATGGCCAGGATAACTTCAATGGAAATTGGGACCCGCCACCTCACTGACCATGCCTGGCTGGAAGGCGTTATAGACCTCAGTGCTCAAACAAAGTCAGAACGCAATTGGGCCCTTGACAGGTACATTTTATTAGATACCAAAGCCAGAGGAAAAGTAGAAAAGGATTTAGAAAATTTCTTCACGGAAAACACTTCAGAGGATACTTCCCCGGCTCTGCTGTGGGACACTATGAAGGCGGTGGTCAGAGGTTCTTTGATATCTATAACATCTGCAATCAAAAAGGAGAAGAACCGAGAAAAAGAAGAATTACTAGGAAAGATAACGTTGCTCGAACAGACTCATAAAAGAACAGGTAGTGAACGGACCTACCGCAAACTCTTGGCAGAACGCAAAATACTGGAAAATTTGGAAACTACGCAGATACAAAGAAATCTGTTATACCTAAAACAAAAAATGTGGCAGAAATCGCCAAAAAACTTACGTATTTTAGCCTGGAGGGTGAAGGAAAAGAGGAAGTCAACGTTTATAGGTACGATCGCGAACAGTGCTGGACAGCAGGTGCAGGCAGCAACAGATATCGCGGACACTTTCGCGGACTATTATTCTAAGCTATATGAAAGCACAAACCCAGTCGTATCTAATATCACGGACTATCTGGTCTCGATACCCTCCCTGCCGATTCTTTCACAAGCTCATAGAGAGCAACTGGAGTCCATGGTCAGCCCCAAGGAACTACTGGATACCATCAAAAACTCCAAAAACAACAAAGCCGCAGGCCCAGATGGTTTACCAGCAGAATTCTACAAATCTTTCAGCAAGACTCTGTTGGACCACTTTTTAAACGTGTGTAATGATATTTTGAAAAGAGGTTCCGTACCAGTATCCTGGTCAGAATCTGCAATAGTGGTGATCCATAAGGAAAATAGAGACCCGACCAACCTAGCCTCGTACAGACCGATCTCCTTGTTAAACCATGACAACAAGGTCTTCACGTCCATTCTCGCAAACAGAATTAAGACATTCGTTGCACAATACGTGAAAGCCGATCAAACGGGATTCATTCCAGACAGGCAAATATCAGATACCATTCGCAGATCTTTGAATATCATCATTAACGGGAAAAGAACTAAAGAAGAATCACTTATCCTGGCACTAGATTTTGAAAAAGCGTTCGATTCAGTGGAGACAGGTTACATGCTGGGACTCCTAAGAAGACTCGGGTTTGGGGAAATGATCGTGAGAGGAATACAGGCACTTTACGGTAACAACAGGTCAAGAGTTAGGATCAACAACACTTACTCTCGCTTTTTCAGAATTTCCAGAGGGACCAGGCAAGGTTGTCCCTTATCCCCGTTAATTTTTGCTCTGGCTATCGAACCCCTAGCAGAGAGCTTGAGGTCCGACCCAGCCGTCAGGGGAATTTACATCAAAGGACAGGAGCACAAGGTCAGTTTGTACGCGGATGACCTCACACTTTACATCTCCAACCCGGCCAAGTCCATTGAAACCTTAAACGGTATATTGTCCAACTTTCTGCGATCTCGGGCCTTCGGATAAATCTTTCAAGATCACTAAACAAACGGAATTGGTTATCAAGGCGTCCTCCGTATTTAAGTGGGTCACGGATTGCTGGAGGCACTTAGGAGTCTTTATACCCCTCAATCTCAAGGACTTAGCAAAACACAATCACCATAGGGTCCACAAAGCAGTAAAAGAGGAGATGTTAAAATGGAATACGATGCTACTAACTCTTGCGGACAGGTTACACCTAGTGAAGAGCTTTGCACTACCGAAATTCCTCTTCCTTTTCCAAACCTTACCAATACACATCACAGTGAAGGACACAACCAGCTGGCAAAACACATTATTGCGCTTTCTCTGGGAGGGCAAGAAATCCAGGATAAACTGTAAAGTACTGCATTTACCCTCTCGTCTAGGAGGTATAAATTTCCCTCATATCCGAAGCTATTACTGTGCCTCAATACTGGCGCAGGTGGTACCTATGCTTCACAACGAGTCTCGTAAGCCCTGGATGCAGATAGAGGAGTCGTACGTAGATCCATTCAGCCTACAAGAAACTCTATGGATGAGGCCTGGTCTTAGGCCTAGGAACATCAAGCACAATATGCTTCTGAGGACCGGGATCAAAATCTGGGATCTTAAAAAAAAGGACCTGCTTCCATCTGGGGTCTCTCAGTTATCGACATACCGGCATCAGACTTGGTTCCCCCCGGGCATGGTTCCGAACGCTTTCGCGGAATGGAAAGGGGCAAATCTGAATAGGCTGTGCGACCTGGTTCACCAGGGGTCAATGATGGATAAGCTTTACTTCGACCAACGCGTGGGCAGAGCAACGCACTGGCATCAATACCTGCAGTTGAAAAATCTAATCGAAACACTGGCACGTCTAGACACGTTTCGAAGAGAATTGACACCGCTGGAAAAGATTATAAAGATATATCCAACACGGTCTAAAGGGACTTTGTCTATTATTTATAAGACGTTACTGTCATCAGAAGCCCGAACAAAGCACAAATACCAGCTCCGCTGGGAAGAGGATCTCAACCAGCAATGGGATCATAATGACTGGGACCTGATTTGGGCCTCACCGATGAACAACTCTACGATTTTCAACCTACGACTTCAGAACTTTAAACTACTCACGAGGTGGTACCTGTCCCCAACACAACTCAACAAAATGAACAACTCCCACGACTCCACATGTTGGAAGAAATGCGGGCAACTGGGCTCGTATATCCACTGCTGGTGGGGCTGCCCGACAATTAGCCAATTCTGGAAACAGACAATTAAGCGTATCAATGAAATCACCAACCAAAATATCTCCTTTGTCCCAGAGGTAATCCTACTGAATAAGTGGGATGATTCTACGGGAGAAGAAGGGAAGACTCTCACGTCGTTATTATTGGCAACAGCTAAACTAACAATAGCGGCGGTCTGGAAATCCCCCTATCCGCCAACACTGGCTCTGTGGCATGATAAGCTTTGGGAACAATTTGTTATGGCCAAAATCTCAAACCAGAGCCGAGAGAACCAGCCAACACAGACTGGTCTTTACACAAAATTTAAAAAAATCTGGTCCCCAGTGATAAGGTATATGGAGAGACACGACATCCTTCCCACAAATCAAAACTATCACAGATGGTTGTTCCTATGAAGTTCCTTCTGTTCGCGTGAACTGCACAGGGGTAGTTGCTTAGATGAGGACAACATTACCCAACTGATTGATGCCTGATCTCAGGCTATGGGCGCAGTTGGGATGTGCAGCCTCTTGATATTAGCTGAATTCCGCCTGAACAGAACCTGACTTACCATAGGGGGTGCCCATTGGGATTCAATAGATATCTTCACTATAGTGTGGAGCTCTTTGTTTTAATGACTCAATTTTTATGTATGACATGCTGCTGTCCCTGGGTACAGATGTCAATGGTCAAGACAGTCGTAAGGGAAGAACGTTCTTAACTAATATATCCCTTTTATGCGTCCCCCCCCCCCAATTTGCATTTTAAAATTAGTTTCGTGCTTCTGTGATGCCGTCTTTCTCTATGCTTGTTTGAAAGTTGCTTGGAGAAGATTCTAAAAAAGCAGTGCAGAGGCACAATTACAATGGAGCCGCCGCGAGAGGGCGATAAACATATGCAGACATGCCAAAGTATCCTCGTGCAGTTGAAGTTTGAAAACGGAAGCAAATGTAGACTTTTTTTTGAAGACGGAGTCAGAAGGCTGGGACACCAATGGGAAAGGCAGATGCAGATTGGGCCAATGTAGAGGGGGATTTCTGTTCCAGCGTGGATTTCGTCAGGGCTATTTTTGGGCAGGAACGCATAGGAACGGAGTTCCGGCTGGGTCCCTAGTTGGCCACGCCCAGCAGGAACTCATTAGCATATTAGGCCACACCCAACAGCAGAAACTCATTCGGATTGGCTACATTAGGGGTGTGTGGCCTAACGTGCAAAGGAGTTCCTGCTACAAAAAAACCCTCTGGGTTTTGACAACAAACAAGGTAGACAAAATAAGAAAAAAAAGGTGGGTGTACCTAGATGACCACACTTCTGGTAACATGGGGGTGCGGCCTAATGTGCTAATGAGCTGTGCTGTCAGGGGTGTGGCCTAGTATGCTAATGAGTGTCTGCTGTTGGGTGTGGCCTGTTATGCTAATGAGTTCCTGCTGGGCTTTTTCTACAAAAAAACTCCTGGATTTGGTAAAACAGCAGACTGGGCCACAGTAAAATCCAGTTGGAAAGTGCACCAAAAGTGGATTATTTAGTGTCCGCAGCCAGGGTCAGCCCCAGGTTACCCCACACTAAAGTTAGTGCTTCCCTCTGCCAAAATCAGTCTTGTCTTTACTCGTGCTGCTTTTCTGCCAAAACGTCTTCCAAAGCAACTCACGGGAAATTTTAAAAAACAATAAAAATGACGAAATTCAGGACAGATGCTCCTTGGGGAAGGGAGGTCTCATTTGGGGATGGTTCCATTCTAGGGTTCTGAGTACCACACCAAGGAAAAGGCTGATTTACTGGATTGTGCACAAACCAAATATTCATATATCCAATACAAAAAGTACAGTGTGATTAGCGAAAACAGTCTCTGTATACAGTGTATAATATAGTGAGATATGACCAGGGCTTTTTTTGTAGAAAAAGTCCAGCAGGAACTCATTAGCATAATAGGCCACACCCCTGACTGCACCACTCATTAGCATATTAGGCCACACCCCTGACTGCACCACTCATTAGCATATTAAGCCACATTCCCATGTTACCAGAAGTGTGGTCATCCAGCCACACCCACCTTTTGCTTCTTATTCTGTTTACCTTGTGTGTTCTCACAACCCAGGGCTTTTTTTGTAGCAGGAACTCCTTTGCATGTTAGGCCACACACCCCTAATGTAGCCAATCCTAATGAGTTTCTGCTGTTGGGTGTGGCCTATTATGCTAATGAGTTCCTGCTGGGCGTGGCCAACTCAGGAGCCAGCCGAAACTCCGTTCCTGTGCGTTCCTGCCCAAAAATAGTTCTGGGTATGACCATTCAAATATATGTTAAAAAATTCAACATGTAGTACAGCAAATTATGATGATTAGAAAAGTTTAGCAATTGATGGTCTGCCGGCTACTTTAAACACCGTTTCACTATCTTTTTCAGAACTGTTTCTGTTACAGCCCCATTGCAGAACAACCTTGAGCAGTTGCTGTAAATTGTTATTTATCAGCCAATCGTAGAGGATTAAGAAGTGCATTTAAATCACACGTCTGTGATCCGATTTCTCATGTATAATTCTGATAATCTTGTGTCTACAGGTTTAATAACAGAGAGGCCAAGGTCTCCCCCCCCCTTTTGCTCTTCCTCCTTTCCATTCTAGGGTTGCCAATTCCAGGTTGAGAAATACCTGGAGATTTGAGGGTGGAGCCTGGGAGGGTGGGATATGGGGAGAGGAGAGACCTCAGCGGGTTATGATGCCACGCAGTCCCCCTTCCAAAACAGCCGTTTTCTCCAGGAGAAGAGGAATAAATGGTCTGGAACTCCTTTGCATATTAGGTGACACACCCCTAATGTAGCCAATCCTCCAAGAGTTTACAGAGCTCTTCTCACAAGGGCTACTGTAAGCTCTTGGAGGATTGGCTACATTAGGGGTGTGTCGCCTAATATGCAAAGGCGTTCCTGCTACAAAAAGAGCCCTAGCAGAACCATGGGGCATGTGGAGACAGGGCTTCATCCTTCCCTTTTCCCAGGATGGGGCCCTGGGAAGAAGAAGAAGAAGAAGAAGAAGAAGAAGAAGAAGAAGAAGAAGAAGAAGAAGAAGAAGAAGAAGAAGAAGAAGAAGAAGAAGAGGCGGTGGAGGAGATTGGATTTATACCCCGCCCTTCACTACCCAAGGGAGTCTCAGAGCGGCTTACAAACTCCTTTCCCTTCCCCTCCCCACAACAGACACCCTGTGAGGTCGGTGGGGCTGAGAGAGCTCTTTCCAAAACTGCCCTTTCAA